TTTAGTTGTCCGATTAATTTCTTTCTATTTTTAGTAGAGACGGGATCTCGCTCTTGCTCAGACTGGTTTCGAACTCCTGAGCTCAAACAATCCGCCCGTCTTGGCCTCCCAGGCATGAGCCACCGCGCCCAGCCAGTAACGTAATTTTTGAAAAATGAGCTTTAAAGTTATTATAACATAAAGGAAATGAATTCAAAACCAACTTTTTACAAAAATCTTTTCAATGCCAAGATATATTCTCAAAGTTGGGACAATCGTATTTCTCAGATTTTCCTTTTGCTACAAGATATGTACTGTAACTTGGGTTTTAGTAGCTTAATAGGATGTTACCCACTTACTCCATGAAACCTGCATACTTGGGAGACAAAAGTAGTTTGAGACACATACATATATAGCTAAAGCTTTTCTCATGTTTCTATTCATTTTTGTCCCACCCACTTCCACCGTTTTCTTTTTTGTAATTCGATTCTTAGAAGGTTTGAGGAATTCTTCTCATGTTCTTTTATCCTTCATACTGTCTCCCAGGACAGAATATATAATCATAAGCAGGAAAATTGAAGTATCATTAGTTTATTCCTCACCCTAGTAAACACACATGTTCAATTAGGGAAACAAAGCTTTTATATCTGCCAATACTTCACATCTTTGATTAAAAGAATAGAGCTGAACTCAGTGAAAAAAAAAAAAAAGATTAGTAGCAGTTGGAGATTGTGGGTACTATGGATGCAGGTTTTAAGGTTAGACTCATAAATTGACATACATGACATACCTAGGGATGGTAAGCCTCCCCCAAAATACTTAACTGCTAGAAATTTCACTAGTACTCCTTAATTTTTCAGATATTTCATGTTTACTGGAATAACCCACAATAGTACAAATTGACATGCAAGAAATAGCAACACTAGCTACACCTACTATTGAGTAGAGCCTAGGTGGCAGGACTTTTCTTGATATGAAGTGAATATCAGGGCTTGACAAGATTCTTTCACTTCATATTTTTGTGTGCAGCCAGCCAGGTATAGGGAGAAAAGAAATATGTAACTTTTGTTGGAGAGCTTCCTAATGAAGGGGTAAAACTTCAGAGGAGGGTATAG